CCACATGGATGTTGGTACCCTGCAGATGTAGTTGACTTGTTTTTTACTGTCCATCGTGACATAGCTACTCTACACCTAGGGGCACATCATTTTCTTTTTACCTACTTTTATAATTTCTGGGATTGAGTTTCATAAATATTGCTTGGAGTGGTTCCTGGTCAATTTCTTTTTTTTTGGAGATGGTTTATATTATGTAGTCATCTTTTTGATATTGGATGTTAGGCTCTAGGATCGATCTTGGATTGTAGTTAACTTATCAGTGGTATGACCCTCATCCTACTTACCCCCCCCCTCTCCCAGCATGGGTTTTGGATGTAGTTGATTTGCTGAAAATCAGTGCCAAAACTCAAAGTGATAGTTTGATAGAACTTAATAGAGGGAGCAACATGCATTACGAGAGTATGTCGTACTCTTATTAGTGGAGGGTTGACACATGATGATTTGCTTGAGAGATACAATGGAATCATTCAGTCCCAATTGAGGGGAGAGAGAAGGCTTGTGGCAAGCGTAAAACTTTTTTTAAGTATAGAGGGTAGCACTGAACGAAAACAGCTATTTATGTGAGTGGAGGTAAGTACCCATTGGAAACATGTTTTCAATGTAGTAAAATTATAAAAAAAATTATGTTTTCAAGATCCACTGTACTGAAATAAAAAATAATAATGAGACATTTTCTTAAATCTGTGCACCTCTCTCTGAAAATGCTGAAGTTTCAATTTCATGGATCTCAGTGTTTCTGTGCAAGAAAGAAAACAGAACTATTGTCCTAAACCTGCTCTTTTCTGTTTGAAAAAGTATTTATTGTGGTGTTTTATTAATTTCTTCTTGAAGAAAACAGACCCATTGTCATGCACCTACTTTTTTCTCTTTCAATAATGTAGAGTTATTATCTTAAGTATGTACTTTTTGGTTTTTACAATGTAATTTCATTGAACAGTTATATTCTAGTAACTCCACATTTTTGTACTCTTCAAGCTGTAACTTATTCTTTATTTTGTCCAACAGAAGGTTTGTAAGCATTTTGTTTTCTAAGAAGTATCAAAAAGTTTATTTATTTTTGTAGCTTGTCTCTTTTGTTTTCCTTTTTCCAAATAGGCAGTTACGTGCAGCTGTTCTTGGTATCTATCCTACTAAACAGTCTCGAGGATTAAATGTTCAAATGTGAGTAAAACCTATGGTTTAGTCAGTGTAGTTTTTATTTTCTGCATGAAATCAAGTGGTTACTTTTGTCTATTGGTATAAGTCTAAAATACAGTGCTGTTTTATTTTACTGCTTCGCAAAACTCTTATTTTTGTTTTCTAAAGAAAATATATATTGACAGTTGTTGTGTTAATTGTATTTAACAATAATATTTTGGCCAGGTTGAAACTACTTTCCTTGTCATTGTATCTGGAGACTGCTTGGAGAGGTTAAATTAAAACCTATTATAGGGATCACCGAAGAATGTAGTTCTATAAATCCAATTAATTTCCCCCAAAACAAATATTTTACAAGTTTGCTTTACATGCCATTCATACTTCTTCATTTAGTTTGTATTGGTTTTAACTGAAGCTTTCATACTTGTTGACTTATACATATGTTGTATTCAGTAATGAAATTTGTTTTCTGTTCAGAGCAAGTTGATTCCATGATTCTTTCTGTAAAACAATGTGTTACATTCAGTAGTGAAATTTGTTTTCAGTCCAGAGAAAGTTCAACCCATGAGTCTTTCTGTAAAACAATGTGTTACATTCAATATTGGAACTTTTTTTCCATCCAGGGAAAGTTGATGCCATAAATCTTTCTGTATAACAATGAGTTATATTCAGTAGTAAAGTTTTAAATCCAGGACAAGTTGATCACATGATTCTTTCTCTAAAAAAGTGGTGTATTTAGTACTCAAGCTTGTGTTCTGTCCAGGATAAGTCGATTTCATAATTCTTTCTATAGAATGGTGTTTCAGAAACACTCCTCACCTCTCTACATTAAAAAGAGCTATTACCTTGCACACACTTCCATATAGATTCCTGTGTGTGTGCCACAAGCTATGAACAAAGCTATCACCTATGCTTTCGTGAAAGTTTATTGCGCCTCCCTATGATATGATCATTATTAGACTATAACCCTCCAACGATGGTAGGGTGACATATACTTCTTGTACAGTAATCCCAATGAGCACTAGTATTAAAACATAGGCTCATCCTTTCTTCACACCTGCTTGTCTTCTAACATGTTTGTTTTTCATAGATTTACCAAAATGTTTGCATTTATAGTTTTAAACCCTTTAAATTATTTGTTGTGTAATCTTTTTTTTCTTAATTTTTTTGATTACATGAAACAATAATACTCAATTTTAAACTTATGAGTTAGAACTTTGTTTCGAATTATCTTTAATTTGATTTTCTTTTAATTGACTTGTATTTTCAGTCAGTACTCTTCAAGGTTGTCATTAGGCCTATGCACCATTGCCATACTTGGCTCATTTTCTTTTTACCAAAAGCGACAAAAACATTTTCTGTGTATTCTAGAAAAATGGACCACCACAAGATCAAGTTCATGGATTAACTGGATTATGCATTCATGTTTCCAATATGGTATATACCTCCTCTCACAAAATTAACCATTCTCATTCAGAGCTGCCCTCTATATGCGAACTTTTTCTTTATGCATGCCACAAGCCTTCTGCTCCCCCTATTGGAATTGAAAGAATCCAACATGTGTCTCATGCAAATCATTATGTGTCACTTTTTCACCAATAGAAGCATGACATGCGCATGTGACTCCCTCTATACTCCTCCACCAAACTATCACTTCTCCTATGGCAGCACTTGTGTTTGGTCGTGCTTCTTGTTTGTTTAAAGATTCATGTTTGGCTTAAGTTTCCTCACGAAGTGGTTTTCTTTAATTTATTTAGTTTCATTCAGAAAGTTTCTTCACATAAAATTTTTATCAGTTATTCCAGTCGCATTATTTTTTTTCACCACTCGTATTTGGTGGACACTTCATAATGAATTCCAAAGTTCATGTTATCACTTTGGGGGGTCACACCAATGACTAGTGTTCTTTCTTCTTTCTCAGGCCTCGGAACTGGGCAACCCAACAGTAGATTTATCTTCCGGGAGATCAAACATTTCATGAGCAAGTCTTTATCCCCGGTTTCTCTCGAACAAGTGGAGCCTATTCAGACTGACGAAGGCTTGGATCATCTATTTCTGCCTTCTGATTTTGCCATACCTTCCCATTCCCCACCTGAGGAGCCAGTTAGTCCTAACTCAGTCTTTTTGTATTTTGTTTCTGAGGTATGTGATGTTTTATCCCTTTCTTCTTTATCTTATGGTCACGTCCTTCCTTACTACATGACCAATCTTCCCACCCCTTTTTGTTTTTTCCTCCCTCCTTTGATATTCAGGTTCATGCTAATCAACTTGGCTCACAAATAAGCAATGGGATTAGCATGCCTCACCTCCCCAAGCTTCAGATTGGTCTGTGCTTTCATACCATCATGCTGGCTGTCCCTTTTTTGGACCAACAGTTGTTAGGTTCTATATTGCCCGTTTGTTGGGCGGCTCCCGAATCACCTGTCAGGTTGACCCATGCTCAATATTCTCACCTGCACCTTACCCTTACAACTCTTTTACGGTATTTTTCTTCTCTACACTTCCTCTCTGAGGATCTCCACAGAGGGGGTTTTCTGAGGATACCCTTTCCCTTTTTTTCTCCACTAGCTTGTGTGTCATCTTCGGCTCTGGCTTTGCATATGTGGTTTCTCTGTTGTTGAGACTTTTTAGGCTTTTGGCTCAGGCCCATTTACCATCAACTAATCTTCAGGATTTACATATGGCCCCATTTCTGCAGCGATACGCTTTTTTGATACAATCCTGGAAACACTAGAGCCATGGGTGGTATTGGTCCAATAACAATCTACCTTTACCAATATTGTTGCAAGTTTGTCTCAGTCTGAGCTCCATATGCCACCTATTATTGTTTCCTGTTCTTCCCCTTCCCAACCTTTACTTGTCCCTTCTTCTCAGAGTACCTCTTCTCATCTGGACCAGAACCCAATGGGTAGTCACCAGTACTATTGACAAGGTGAGGTGTGTCATGGAAAAAAACGTGTGAGCTCGGCTCTCCGATTTTCTTCATCGCTGGCATTTCATCAAGGATTAATGAGTTCTTCGGGTCTTATCAGAAGGATTCGTGATCCATTTTTATTTCCTTACCTCCCTTATCACTTTTCCTCATTTCCTTGCTTTCTCCTCGGGATCCGTGACCAGTCAGCATCTGTCAGAAGCAGTTCGGAATTGCTATCTCAGCAGGCCATCGATCCTGTTCTTCATCGTTCAACTGGTTTTTATTCCTCACTTTTTGTTATTCTCAAGAAAACTAGGGACTAGAAGCTGGTCACAGATTTATCTCACCTCAACTGCTTTATTCACATGTCCCAGTTTACCATGGAGTCTTTTCTCACCCTGAGGTGGGTTTATGGGTGACCAAAATGGATGTCACTGCTTATCTCTATATACCTATAGCACTTAAGTTTAGTCCTTATCTTCAGTTTTTCCATCTCAGGGTAAGTTATCAGTTTTGAACACTTCCATTCAGACTTGCTTGGGCCCCTTATGTTTTCTGTTGGGTAGTCTGAGCACTTGCTTGACATCTTCATGCTCTGGGGTTGAGTTTTCACTATTACATGAACCACTGGCTTCTTCTGGCTCATTCCAAATCAGAGTCGGCCAGCCATATTCAGCGTCTCCTTTTAGTGGCTACTCGAGTGGGCTGGTTAATCAAACTGGAGAGGCCCTACCTCAGACCCACTCAATATCTCGTCCATTTGGGGGTCTTTTTTGACACTTGTATCAGTCAGGCCCAGCCATCTCCTTTAAGACTTCATTTTATGGAATTGTTAGTGTGCCATGCCCTCTCGGTTCCATCACTTACTGCTCTTGAGGTTCTATTGCTTTTGGGGAGGTGACCTTCAGTGACATCATTGGTCCCTCTCAGTCATGCCCATATGAGATCCCTTCAGTGGGCTCTTCACAATCAATAGAACCTTGCAAGGGATCCTCTTTCTACTCTCATTACCCTTCCTCTTACCCTGTGAGATGATCTGCTTTGGTTGTTGGACAAGGCACATACTTCAACATGCATGCCACTTCTTCCCCCACATCCAGATTTACATCATTTCATAGATGCATCCATGCAGGGCTGGGGTGCATAGATCAACCACCAGGAAGCTTCAGGCTATTGGTCTGTTGATGAAAGCGCTTTGCACATCAACGTTCTCGAACTTCTAGCTGTATGTTTGGCGTTGAATCACAGTTTTTATTGTAATAACAGAGATAAAGAAAAATTATTTGCCTAGTCAAAGAGTGTTCTAAAGTAATTGAATCTGCCTATGTGGACTTTGACAAAAAGGAAACAATTATTTAAAGCTCTGGATACAACTGTGGTAACCAACAGTTATAGTGGTGATTTTGAAGTTAATATAATTGGTGGTAAATTCACTTATTTTACACCATGGCTTACCACAGTTGTATACAGAGTTTTAAATAATTCTCTTTTATATCAAAAATCCACACAGGCTGGTTCAGTTACCTTAGAACCCAACTGACAAGACGAATGATTCTTCTCTATCTCATTTGTTACAATAAAAGCTGTGAATCTCACTTCAAAATCAATATCAAAAGTCCACACAGGCTGGTTCAGTTACTTTAGAACCCAATATTGACAAGACGAATGATTCTTCTCTACCTCGTTTGTTACAATACAAGCTGTGAAATACCAATAACAGTTTAGAGGAGAATAATTTGTCTTGTTAAAGGGTGTTCCAAATTTATTGCACCCACCTGTTGTGAACTTTGACAAAAAAAAAGTGACAATTGTTTAAAGTTCAGGATACAACTGTAATAATCAACAATGTAAAGAATTTTTATATGTATGTTTGACTTGTTTTGACTGTCCGTTTATTGTTGAAATTTATCGCCAACAAATCACAGACACATACTGTAAAGAATCCGGCCCTATAAAACCTGACAGTCCAGGACAAGTTGATCTTGTGATTTTTTTTCTATACAATAGTGTTTTGCATTCAGTAATGAACTTTACTTTTAGTCCAGGGCAAGTTGATTACATGATTTTTTTTCTGTAATTTGTTTTAGTCCAGGGCAAGTTGATCCAATGTATGTTCCGCAAGAAACAGTTGACACAATTAGAAGAAAAGTAAGTAGATGATATTATTACCTTTAATCTAGATTAAGGAGCATGTTGTCTTTTCTATGAAGTAATACAACTCAAGGAGAATGTTTATTCTTGTATCACAATGAAATACATTGAGTAGAACATTGACTCTTGTATCACAATGTTATACATTAGGTAGGACATTGACTCTTGTATCACAATGTTGTACATTAGGTAGGACATTGACTCCTGTATCACAATTTTATACATTAGGTAAGATATTGATTCTTGTATCACAATGTTATACATTAGGTAGGATGTTGATCCTTGTATCACAATGTTATACATTAGGTAGGATGTTGATCCTTGTATCACAATGTTATACATTAGGTAGGACATTGACTCTTGTATCACAATGTTATACATTAGGTAGGATATTGACTCTTGTATCACAATGTTATACATTAGGTAGGACATTGACTCTTGTATCACAATGTTATACATTAGGTAGGATGTTGATGCTTGTATCACAATGACTTACATTAGGTATAATGTTGACTTTATATGACAATCATATACACAGAATGTTTATTATTTTATAACATTAGTATACAACTGGAAGAACATTAATTCTTGTATAACAATGATATAATATCTATGTAAAGCATTGAATCTTCTATAACAATGATATACACAAGGTAGAGCATTGACTCTTCAATAATAATGATATACAGTAGGTAGAACATTGATTCTTCAGTAACAATGATATACGATGGTTAGAACATTGACTCTTTGGTAACAATGATATACGGTAGATCCAACATTGACTCTTCAGTAAGTAATATACAGTAGGAAGAACATCGACTCGTTGGTTACAATTATAGATAGTAGGTAGAACATTGATTTCTGTATCACAATGTAGAACATTAACTCTTTTATGACAGTGTTATACATCATGTACAATGTTGATTCTTGTATAACAATCTACATTAGTTATAACGTTCACTCCGTAAAACAATGATATATATATGTAGATCATTGATTCTTTTATAACAATATGCAGTAGAAAGATTGTTGATTCTTGTATAACAGTGATATAAAGTACATAGAAAGTTCATTCTTGTATAACTATGGTATGCAAAATGTTGACTGTTCTAACACTGATGTACACTAGGTAGAATGTTGACTCTTCTATAACAATGTTATAAACAAGATAGAATGTTAACTCTTTTATAAAAATGATACACATTAGACAGAAAGTTGTTTCTGGTATCACAATGATAAACACTAGATAGAATGTTGACTTAACTCTCCCAACACGGGGTTGGTCAATTTGACCGAGTCACGTGACCTTTTGTACTTGTTTAAAGTTGATATAAATTTAATACTTATAACACTCTATATATTGGATATATCTTCACAAAATTTGGCAGTCTTTCAGTTAATATTACAAGTCTTTCACATACAAAAAGTCATATTTCTTAGTGAAGTATTTTTAATAAAATAAAGTTTTGTCCATGAATATATTGAGTATTTGTTTTGAATAATCCATGTGCAAAGTAATTTTCATGTTAAAATTAAAAATACTTTTTGTTATCTCAAAAATCTCAAATTTCCTTTATGTAATCCCTAAAATCTACTAAATGCATTCCAACCTTTTTTTTTCTAAATCTTTATAGTTTATATGTCATTTTCTCTACCATATCTCAAAACAGAATCAGTCAATTCTACCTACCTCGTAACCACCAAAAAAAATCAAAATAAACGTAAATTAACCTTCTTTTCTTTATAGAATGA